AAGATTTTACGAAATTTTGTGATTTATTTGTGACTATAAGGTACTTCTAAAATAACAAAAAATATTTATTTATTTTGCGATAGATTTTGAGCTACGCTGTTTTGAAATCAGTGAAATTTTCAAATAATTTATTTTTTTCTAGATTTTTTGTTCAAAATATCCTTTGATTCGAGACAATAACATTTATTTTTTTTGTTATTACATTGTTTCACTGATATGCACAAAAAATTTCATCAAGATATGTTGGCTAGTTCAAGAGATATAGCGTTCTACGTAGGTACAAGTTTTGAAAAAAATCGCTCAAAAATTTGAGGATGCTGTCACAAAAATCTTCATAACTTGAAAAATAATTGAAATTTTTTTATAAAAATTTTATTTTGTCGATGAAATACATTGAGGTACTTACTGTTAAAATTTTAAAAAAATCGGAGATGGTCGGGCGTGGACCATGGTTCAAGTTGACAGAGAATGACCCATATATATATACACATACACATGCATGTCTAAGCTTAAGACAAGATTGAACGAAATCATTAAAAGAATTAATAAGAAAACAGAATAAAAAATACCCTTACTAACGGGCGAATATGAAACAAGGATATGCTTACGGTACTGTCAAAACACTTCAAGCTGACAACCCTCGACGACCAATAATCAGCCAAAAACCTGCATTCACATACCCCATTGCAATTATGCTCAACAAAATAATTACACCCAACATGCTTACGTTTAGCGTATTGGTGGCACGTTTTCTTGATGGTTTTGTAATTTTTGGCGTTTCTTGTTTTTTGCTTCTGAACAAGTGAGTTCTCTTTTTTTTACTATAATTAACTTTTTCTATATCTTGTTAATATTATTACGTCTTATCTAGAGACTTTCTCTTAAGCCTTTCTAATACTCCTTTGTATTCGACGGGAGTGGCTCGGCGGTGATACCTCTACTTTAATCTTAGGTCTAATAATAGGTGCAATAAATCTAATTCCAATTCAATTAACAAGAAAATAAATATAGTTAGTAACATTAGTAAAAGTAAGCATAATAAGTTAAATAAATCATATTCTAATGTATCTAATTCTAATAATAATAATTCTATTAATTTAAATAATATAACTAGATAAAAAAAATAACAATATTCAACCTACTTCTACATTTTCATTATTTAATATTAACATTAAACATCGATTCAAGGCTGTTCAAGAAAGTAGAAAATAAGAACAACCGCGTCATCCTCTACTACCACCAATTAAAACTACAACACACAACCTTCGTCAGCCCAAACATAACTATCAAGTCGTCGCCTACCAGAAAAAGACTTTCGTCACAAGACACCTTAAACATATTAATACTCACTAAAACTTTATCATTCGCAGAACTTGTTTTTATTTATCGATCACCTCACTAACTCACTATGTCATCATCTAGTCTGTTAATTTGCGTTTTTATGCCGTTACTTCACTTTATATTTCATTGTCAATTACTTTTCTCTTATTCATTTTATTATTATTATTTATTTTATTTTTCATGTTTTAACATTTTTCTTTCTCACTTTTTGTATTTATTTACTCACTTATTTGTTTAATTTTGTACTATTGCCTTGCATGTTGTAACAGTTTCTGCGTCTGTCAGATCCTGATTTTTAAAGAATAATAAAAAAAAATAAAAAAAATACATAAGGTCTATAAAAATAATCATTTTATATTCAGCAAATAATCTTTTCCGCCTTACCTGATTTTTTTGTCTTACTGAAACTTGGCACCAGGAATCTAACTCTTTCGTTTTCTTATTCTTGCTGCTCCTGATGATTACAGCTTTCTTGAACTCTCTATACTTCGAAAAGATCCTCTCTCTCTCTCTAAGTCTTCTTATCTTAATATTGCTGTAAATTAATTTTTTATAATTAAATTACAGCTTTTTACTGTAATTTATTGACCTCCTCCTCCTTCTTCTTTTATATTTTTAAATGAATTTTGCTTTTTTCTATTCCATTCTATATCTCTGATGATTTCAACTTACACTTCAATAATTTATTTTGTTCTTATACTGGTAGATTTAATGATATTTTGTTTCTTTCTTTTTAACTTAACTCAATATTGTTCTTTTCCTACTTCAGGTAACACTATTGACTTTATTATAGCTTCATCTTTTTCTAAGCCTATTAATATCTATGCTAACTCTGTTTATTATTCTGATCACGTCTTTATTGAATCTGTATTATTTTTAGATTTTCTTCCTTCTATCTCATCTATGTCTATTTCTAAAAGATGCTGGTCTTTTCTCAAGGAAGATATTTTTCTTCAATCTCTTACTGAAACTATTTTTTATACTTCCTTATTTTTTGATGTTGATGATTTTGTCTATGCATTTAATATCTATATTTTTTCTCTTCTTTATAAGCTTAGTATTTTTTAAATCTTTTACTTATTAGGTCTATTCTCGTAAGGCTATGACTATGATTATGTATATTTGCCAAGAAAAATGTTAAAAGACTGGAAAAAACCCATGAGTTAAACCCATCTACTCTCTTTACTCTATCTATAAATCTGAATAAATTAATTTTATATCTACTATTCTCTAAATCTAAACACTCTACTTTTCTTAGAAATTCTATAATATCTGCTTCAACATCTAAAAATAGGTGGTCTGTTCTATCTAAACTTTTTCATAAAAAATTTTCTCCTCATCTTTTTATGATCAACAGTATCATGACTTTTTTGTAAATAAAATTAATTCTTTAAGAACCTCTAATTCTCATTCTACTCCTCATAACTTTACTAAACTAACTACTGAATTTTTTTTGTATTTACTCCTATAAATCTTCTAGAACTTATTAAAATTAATAATTCTATGTCATCAACAACTTGTTCTCTAGATCTACTTCCTTCTAATTTACTTGAAGAATTTTCATCAATATTTTATCTATCGTTTTCAAATTAGTTAATTTATCTCTTTCCACCCCTAGATTTCCTACTTATAAAAATTCTATTTTTATTCCTATTCTTAAAAACTATCTCGTATTATTAATAATTTATTAAGTATTTCAGTTTGCTATAGCTGGTGTAGGTAAGTGTCAGCAGTGTAACTAGTGGTGTCACAAACGTTGTTCAAAAATAATTGGTACTTTATCTAAAGTGTCCAATTTTGTTTGTCCTGCTCGCATCAATCCACAACAAAAACTGGCATTTCTTTTGTTATAACATAAAATGCGTTTTGCATTTATTATTAGCATTTACTTTTAAAATCTACTTACTTTCAATTACTATCTCTAATATGTTAATAATATCTAGGTCAAACTTCTCGTTAAAATCTTTTGATGAAAACTTCATTAATAAATGAAACGTTTTTGTTCGATTTGTTGAGTAGTTTATTTATTAAATGTTTGAAAAAAAGAGTGTTTGAATATAGAACGGCCAAGTTTTGCATTAATCAAATCTTACCACAGGCTTATTTGGTAGCTGGATCTTCGTTGAACGTTGTAGGTTATCATTCATTCATTACCGTTACCGTTATGACTTATGTTGTTATGTAGGATGCGCGCAGTGATGAATTAATTAACCTTTTTGTCGCCTAGAGGCATCTATAATTTGCCTTTCCAATTTTGTACTTGACGAAAATCAAATTCAAATAAAAGCATTATTTTCAATACATCTTTGTCAGGTAAGAATTTTAAATTAAAGATTAAAAAAGAGGGTCAGACTATTTCTTGATTTAAAAAATTGCGTGTGTTTAATTTTTACTAGGGTTGCACCAGAGCTTAGCTCCGGCTCCTGCCGAATATCCTACCATTTTTCACTATCTGACCATATTCGGCTCCAGCCAGATATCACTGCCGGATATTTGGCCGGATAGTAAAATATAGTGTCTACATTTATTTTGACATGTATAAAGTAGATGTGCGTTAATTAATGTTTGTTACCACACACACACACATATACATAAATATTGGATTACGTTAATCGGGCAAGTGAATTTGCACGCCGACCATGAATTTGTTATACTGCAAACAAGCCATGGGAACAAAAAATATGTTCAAAAGATAATTTTTATGCCGATATTATTTTAAAAAGTATTTGTAAAAATTTCCGTTACAATTGAAAATAAATTTTTTTTAATAATTTAAAAAAAATTTTGTTTGCGCTTTTTTTAAAATTTTGTTTGCGCATCATAGTTTTAATAATATTTATTATCCTTGGCAACAATTCATTTTCTTTTTCCTACAGATGTGAGTGGCGAGGTTTGTGAAGATTGTGTCATTTGTTTTGTTTGATTTAATTTAATTTAAATTAAATTAAATTAAATTTGCTCTTATATTTTATAATTATTTTCAAGCCTAAACTTCATTTTTTATTAGAATTTTATATATTTTTTTATAAAACGTCAATTTTCATATATTTGTCAATAGTTGCTACATTGATTAGGTTGTTTTGGAATCACTATGGAAAAATAAAACCATCTGCTAATTTGAACAAACTGGTACTGCAAAATCTGAAGGTGCTAATTTAATTGAAAATTAAATTAAAATATTTATTAATGATTGGTGATAATTGAATTTTGTTTATTTGTTGTACATTACAGTAATAATATTTAAAAAAATTAAATTGAAATATCTAATAATGAAATGGTAAATTTTTATAGCAAATTTTTTAATGACTATTTAAACATTTAGGGGTTCATTGTTAGGAAAATGTTTTGGCGAACAACCACAATGTAGGTGCATCTGTATTCGCATTATATGCAGATAACCAATGCCCAACAAAAGCTGCTTCGGAGCAAACTAAAAATATGTTGAATCTGGTGCAAAACCAACGCTTGTAACAAATTTCCTACATCAATAAAAATTTTTTGTAACAAGGAAAAAATGTATATATTTGAAAGCAAAAACTAGGTTAATTATTATATATTTTAACCAGAAATTCCATTGATCCTGAGTTATATTTCATGAATTCCAGGTTCATGAAACCCCTTGAAGAGGAGCTTTTGGCCAGCTCGGGGTTGCCTTGTGTAACAAGTGAAATTTTAGCTGATGAGAATGGTCAAATCACTTGTCTTTTTGTATCCTGTTGCTATGAAAAGAAAAGAAGTCTAACAAAAAGGAAACCGCAACTGTTCCAACAACGTAAACTTACGTTTGAAAAATTGTCTATCTGTGCAGGATCAACTCAAAATCTCATGAATTTTACCTGAAGAAACAACCAAAAACTGTGTTTAGACGGATTGTATAGCTTCAATTGATGATGTTAATGATTGATCAAAAGTACACAAATGACCTTGACCTTGAAACTATTTTTTGAATGAAGCATAAGCAAAATTAAAAAATAAGATGTGGTCGATTGGACAAAATTTGTATGTTTGTGTTCTGTGGACATCGGTCTGGGAGAGTCATCCAAACTCGTACCTTGTGGGGGCAGTGTGATGGCTGCATAAACTGGTACTACTGTTCATGTGTTGAGATAAAGACTACCGAAAGAGCCTTATAGACAAAAACTATGATCACCGGTGGTACCGCTGAGCCTGTGGCCTCTGGTCATTTCATTGGCCATGTTCGGTGTGTGGGGCTGGAGTTGGAAGCAACTCGATTAAATGCCTACGATGTCATCAGTGGTGTCAAAAACGATGCTCGAGAATTACCGGTCACTGAGGAATGTGACTGATTTCGTATGTCCCGTTTGCATCAACCCGCGACAACGGAACCCAGATAATTGATATTGAGGATTATGGCTTGGGATTCTATTGGATTTGAGTCAGGTAGTTGTTTGATTGAGTAAGGGATGTTATTGTGTATTAACATGACCAGACCACCGCCTTGTCCAAGACCACGGTCTTTGCGGTATATAGAGTAGCCATCGAATTCTGGCTCTTTGGAACGGGAGTTGAGTTTTGTTTCTGCAATGTGTATTTTGTGTGTTTCGAGGTGCTGTTGGAGTTCGTCCGTCTTGTTTTTGATACCATTGCAGTTCCATTGGAGGAATGTCAGTTGACCGGGGGAATGAGCCACGAACCCAGTGGTGTTTTGATAGGTGGGATGAGATATTATCCTCGCAGTTTTAGAGGTTGAACTGGTTTGAGAGTGTCTCATAGACATAGCAGAGGCCGCCGAGCTGCTCGAACGGGGGTTGGGGGAAGGGCAGTTTTTATAGATAAAGAAACCGCCAAAGTCGGAGGAACAATTATGAAGATGGCACCAGTTGCAGCAGAATCTGCAACGGGCAGAGTATTGTGTTTTGTTGATCTTCACGTTGCAAATCGGGCAGATCCAGATCTTTGGTGGCCCAGGATTCGACTCAATGCCGGCTCTTAATGACAGCGTGCTCTATAGTCTGCTCCGAAGGCGAAAAAACCCGTGATATTGATGTCTTGCAGGGAGGGTATGTTGCAACGGTTTGCTGAACATCTGAAGGGTACCAGAATGTCCAATCGGCTCCACCACGAGAGGGCCGTTGCTCCAGAGCCTTACCATCTTGTCTTCTGACCATCTTCCTATTCACATTACTCTGCACGCTGATCTGGAACCCACGAAAACTCCTAAAACAACAATCGTCAGTTTCAATAAGGCTAACTGGGCCAGATACACTGAAGAAACCGAAACTGCCTTCGCAAAATCTGTATCTCCCAATGACCCTTCGGCAGCTGAGAAATTGTTTCGTCACATCTTGTCATCCGCCAGCGCTCGCAACATTCCTTCAGGAAGGAGAATTCTCTCACGACCAGGGCTGTCCAGAGAAATCACGGACCACATGGATCAGCGAGACAGTCTCAGATCCTTGGGCCCTACTTCAGACAACATCAACTCTCTCTCAACTGTCATTCAACAAAAAATCAATAATCTAAAGCTCACCCGCTGGAAGGAATACCTGAGCACATTTAATAAATCCACCAACACAAACCGCTTATGGTCCACCATCAAGGCTCTCAACGGTAAGCCTAAACAATACCCAAATAATGCCATCACTTTCAATAACAAACCAATAACAAATAATAAACAGATGGCCAACCTATTCAATAAAACCTTTACCTCATTCAAAACACACATTTCCGACAATCATCCCTCTGTTAAAACCTGGAAAACCAGATAGCGACTCAAAATCATACAGGCCAATATCGTTACTCTGCCCAGCCGTCAAGATCCTTGAAAAATGCCTTCTCCCAATCCTATCAAAGCATCTAACTTTGGCGGATCATCAACACGGTTTCGTCCAAACTACTCAACAACCTCTGCTCTCACCACGATAACAAACGATATCGCAAATGGCCTTAATCACAAAAGACCAGCTCATCGCACCGTTCTTGCCGCCCTAGACCTCTCTAAGGCCTTCGACACGGTCAGCCACCGTATTCTGCTCTTGGATCTTTTAACCACAACACTCCCAAGATCTGTTATACGCTGTTAAACCACATTTCGACAACAGCACTCCAAACAACGAATCATCCACACAGGAGTTGTGCCCAGTGTTGTCCCCCTCACTTTTCAACTTCTATGTCTCAAAAACACCTGCAGCACTCCCGGACATCAAAATCATCTCATATGCGGATGACTTCTCTATCTACACTACAGGTCCAGATGCAGCTATTTTGACCCGGCGGCTTAACAGTTGTCTGACGGAGTTACATGACTTTTTCCACAACCGTAATTTGGAGATCTCAACATCCAAATCCACAATAACACTCTTTACCTCTAACACATCGCAATACCATTATTACCCGCAAGTCAAAGTCAATAACCAAACTCTTCCTCTAGAGCATAACCCAAAAATTTTAGGCCTTACCTTTGACACGATGCTCTCCTTCTTGCAGCATCACAAGATGTCAGCTTCTAAGGCCTCTAAGCGAAACTCAATTTTAAAAGCTCTCAGTGGAACCACCTATGGCCAAGACAAGGAAACACTAATGCAAACATACAAGGTGATTGGCCGATCAGTTATTGAGTATGCCTGCCCGGCTGGTCTCCACTGACTTCCGACACAAGCTACCACAGACTACAACGCTCACAAAACGCTGCTTTACGGGTAATCACCGGATGCAACGGAATAGCATCGGAACAACATCTCCACTCTGAATGCCAGATGCTATCAGTAAAGCAGCATACTGACCTACTATCATCTCAATTCCTTTTACAATGCCATAATACCAGTCACCCTTGCCACCAAATCACAAGAGAACCACGACCCGACGGAAATATAAAACACACATTATTCAGCAAATATGTACAGACAGTGCAAACCGTTCTGCCCACAGATACCGACAGCTGAGCTTTAAAGGCAGCTTCATCTGCCTTGCATTGCAGTGCTGCGAAACTCGCCTCGGAGACATATCATGCCGCTGTGCTGCTCAACGAATGGCCACCTCTAACACCCAAAATAGACAAGGCGGAGGAGAGTTTGCCAAGAGCGTTGAGAAGAAAACTGGCCCAGCTCCGCTCTGGTCACTGCATCTCCCTCAACAGCTACAGATCGAAAATAGACAGTAGGGTCATCAACATCTGTCCAATATGCCAATTACTTCCTGATGATGTTCCCCATCTGTTCAGCTGCCCAAAGAACCCAACTCATTTCACGATAATAGATCTCTGGCGTAACCCGGTGGCCGTGGCTAACTGGCTACGACCTCGTCTGGATCCCTCCAGTGATGTCTGACGCAGGGCAACAACGACAACAACAACAACAACCCAAATAATGATACGATTTTCGGGATCGAAACTGTTACTTCATTTCAGTATTTGGGAGATGCGCTAGATTGTACTAGAACAGCTGATGCCGCCGTTCGTGGACGCATACGTACGACGTGGGGCAGATGGCACCTTCTTGCCTCGGTACTGATGTGGCGTAGATACAATAATTTCCATTACTGAACACCAGGTGCCTGGCACCCGCTCAAGATGTCGCCCAAAAAAGTCTTTGACGCAGACCATACAGGAGGACTTGAAGGCACTTGGTTTCAAGGAGACAGACGCAATGGATGATCGGCTTGGAGAGGAAACTGATGAATGGAATAAAAACGTCCGACCCATAACGGATGGAGACTATAAACTAGGCTTGATTAATTATTGCTCTCGACTTTTCTAAAGCTTTTGACTCTCTCAATCACTTCTCACTTTCAAATATTATGGGTCCTCTACCTGACAACATTTACAATATTATAATAAATTTTCTAATAGGAGTCATTCTACTTTCTTTAGCTCTACTCTTTCATCTACTCTACCAATTAACTCCAGCGTAGTTCAAGGTTCTGTCCTCGGGCCATCTACCTTTATCATCAACGCTTCTACTCTCAAAACTTTTCATAGTTCTAATCAAATCATCAAATACGCTGACGACACCTACCTTCTCATCCCATCATCTAACTCAAACACCATCCAATCAGAAAATCGACTCATTAACTACATGGTCAAAACGATACAATCTGTCACTTAATCTCAAATCATTCGAACTCATCATTCACAACAGCCGTAAGAAAATAACATTACCTCCATAACACCCACCAATCACTCACACAAGTCAATTGAAAATATTAGGCATCACATTCACCTCCACACTTAATATAGCACCTCATAACAATCACATCATCACAAAAGGCTTTCAAACATTTCAGGTTTTCAAAACACTCCGCTCACATGGTCTCAGAGGCATCAAATTATTCGACATCACTGAATCTTTCCTAATCTCACGCATCAAATATGCAGCCCGCCCTGGTCTGGTTTTGCTACATAACAACAATTTCAGCAACTACAATCTCTCATCAAAAAACTAATCCGCTTCAACCATCTACCTGCATCATATCCTACCGTCAATCCTCAATTCAACTACTCGACTGTTCAAGAAAGTAGAAAATAACAACTACTTCATCCATCTTCTACTACCACATATTAAAACTACAACACACAACCTTCGTCAGCGCAAACATAACTACCACCCAATCTACATATCAGGAAAAGACCTTCATCACAAGACATTTCAAACCTAATAACACTTAATAAAACTTTATCATTCACACAACTAGTTTTTATTTATCGATCACCTCATTACATCACCAAGTCATCATCTAGTCTGTAAATTTGCCTTCTTTATGCCATTACTTCATTTTATTGTCAATTTCTTTTATTTTTTTTTATTTATTTTATTATTATTTATTTTATTCTATTTTATTTTACTTTTCTTGTTTAAACATTTTTTTCTCCGTTTTTTATTTATTTATTCGTTTAATTTTATACTTCTGCCTTGCATGCTGTAACAGTTTCTGCGTCTGTCAGATCCCGATTTTTAAAGAATAATAAAAAAATAAATAAAAATTTTGGTTTTTAACTAAAGAAACTTGAAAATAATAATATCTATCAATCGTTAGAAAAATCAAAAAGTTAAATTGGAAATTAACTAAAGCCAAACATGCTGTGATTTTCATCAATAATATATATATATATATATATATATATATATATATAAATTATTTAATTAAAACAGAAAACCAATAAAATAAATTTAATAATATTAAACAATATAAAACGCGATTTTTAAAATTTTAACGGCAAGATTGTTTATATTATGGTTGTTAAGATAAATATCAACGCTCAGCCGAGTAGCGCGAATTAATTTATTTAATTAACTACACATTATTTTTACAATATTTAAAAACGTTATTATTATTAACGTTATTATTATCATCGCTGTGGTTCTTCTTGCTTCTTGCTTAACTAAAGAAACTTGAAAATAATAATATCTATCAACCGTTAGAAAAATCAAAAAGTTAAATTGGAAGTTAACTAAAGCCGAACATGCTGTGATTTTCATCAGTAATATATATATATAGTGTCAGAATTATGAAATAATACTGACTAAAAATACTTCCAAGTCCTTCAACGCAAAATTTATTCACTCGATAGGGGGCCTGATGCAAGTTAATTTACTCGATAGGTGACAAGACGATTTTTTGTTTGTTTTGCAATTTAGATGACGTCGTAAATTATTACAAATTATTTTAAAATTTAATTAGTAGTTTTTTGATTAATTGGACATACCTTGGAAATGTTTATGTTTAAAAACACCCGAAACAAAATCTAATTTTGCTTTGACATAGAGTTTCCTTATCTTATTGGAGGAAGAGAGTCCGCTGGGTTGACTAGTTAGGCAGCCTTGAGTAATTGGTGTCTATTCTGGTCTCTAAGAGACTTAATTCGATATTCTATGCTCATTGGCACGGAAACGTCTTAAGTTCTCGAAAAGAGTCCGCCTTGGGTTCACCAGTTAGACAGCTTCGAGTAATCGGTGCCTATTTTGGTATCTAAGAGACTTAATTCGTGATTCTATGCTCATTGGCATAGTTTCAGAAACGTCTTAAGTTCTCAAAAGTGGATTTGGTACGAGACTCTATGGTCATTGGCATAGTTTCGCACGCGTACTAAAGTCACGCAATTTGTTCCCAGTGTTGTTCTGACTTGTTGTTTTGTGTTGGTTGTGCGAAAGCCAACCAGACTCGACGGCCCAGTGAAAACAGGCCAGGGTTGTGCGAAAGCCAACCGACTGACTGACAGGCCCAGTGAAAACAGGCCCTTGGTTGTGCGAAAGCCGACCAGACTCGACGGCCCAGTGAAAACATGCCAGGGTTGTGCGAAAGCCGACCGACTGACTGACAGGCCCAGTGAAAACAGGCCTTGGATTCTGTGAAAACAAATCCGCCTCGTTGTTTTGTTTTTGTTGTGCTATTTGTGGACCTAGGGTTCTTTGCTGGATTCTATACTCATTGGTATAGTTTCGCACGCAGCTTGGAATTTCCATAGGCTCCGATTTTTGTAATTTTTCTGCATTCATTTTATTTTTTTCTCGGAGTTGTATCGACACCACCATCGGTCACACACGTCGAGGTTGTTCGATTGAACGGCAAGAAACATATCCCAATTTGTCCGACCCAACAAGAAGAAGTTCTAATTCCTGTATTCCAGTTTTTTCATTGACATTATTTTTTTCTACATTATTCTAGAGTTCATTTAGTTCAATTCCTTTTCATTTACTTCCGTCGATTAATAAAATTGTTATCGAATATTTTTACGCGTTCGTGTGTTACTCAGTAAAATCATATAATTCGAAAAAGCCCAGTGCCACACAGGACTGGTCGAACTCACGATAAAAGTATAAAAAAAAAATTATTGTCGGACCACAAAAAAATTCCCTGAGAAAGATAGAGGAAGAGATTACCTCACCACCAGTTGCAAATTTCCGACAATATATATATATATATATATATATATATATATATATATATATATATATATATTATTTAAAACAGAAAACCAATAAAATAAATTTAATAACATTAAACAATATAAAACGCGATTTTTAAAATTTTAACGGCAAGATTGTTTATATTATGGTTGTTAAGGTAAATATCAACGCTCAGCCGAGAAGCGCGAATTAATTTATTTAATTAACTACATATTATTTTTACAATATTTGAAAACGTTATTATTATTATTGTTAACGTTTTTATTATTATCATCGCTGTGGTTCTTCTTGCTTCTTGTGATGATATTCCATTTGCAAGTGATATTTGCGCTGTGGGTTGTGGCGTTGGTATCTACGGTGTTGGCACTGTTGTTGTTGTTGATGCTGTTGTTGTTGTTGATGGTGTTGTTGATGTTGTTGTTAGGGTTGTCGCTATTGATGATGTTCCAATTGCAACTGGTATTTGCGCTGTTGGTTGTGGCATTGGTATCTACAGTGTTGGCACTGTTGTTGTTGTTATTGTTGATGTTGATGTTGTTGTTAAGGTTGTCACTATTGTTTACATCATCAATATTGTTGGTGATAACATTGTTATAGTTATTGCTGTTGTCGTAATTGTTGTTGTTATAATTATAATGATTGTTGTTTTTATTTAGTAGTCTATTTGAAAGTAGAATGTTGTTAGACTGTACTTGAATGTTCATGGAGGGATTTTTGTTTTGTATGAAAATTGATTCAGCTATTTTCAGGTTTGTGATGTTGTTATTGCAATAAACTTGTCGCGTTAAAGTGATGTTATGCTGTTGTTGATAATGTCGTTTAATTGTTCCATCTTGTAGATGCATGGCCAAACGTCTTGACAATGTGGTAGTTGTCATTCCAATATATGAAGCATTGTTGCGGTGCGAACATTCACCGACGGAGCAATTATATTCATATATTAGATGACTTTGTTGTATAGTTGAGTAGTTGCAGGAAGGCAATTATTTTTCATGATTAGTTGGGATGTTTTTAAATTTTGATACACTCATCAACTCAGAATTATTAAGAATAAAAAAACTTCTCGTGAAAAATAATTACTCTTTGAAACAAATTGATCAAGTCATAAATAGATTAACCAAAAAATATCATGAAAATGCACAAAATATACATCAAAATAATGCAATTACCAACAACGTTCCAAACAATAATGAACAGGAAGATAATGGCAACCCCTCCACCACGTCTAATAACAGCATCACAAGCCTCACCACAAACAGTAATAACAATAACAACAACAATAACAACAACAGCAACAACAACAGCCGTATCATTAGAAACCAAATGAACAACAAAATGAATGACAAAAATAAGATAATATTTTATTACAAAAATATCTTTTCAATGGTGTATAAAGAAGATGAAACAATTTTAAAAGAAATAATACGCAGAAACGTAGTAGCGTCAAATCCAACTAATAAAGTTGTTCTTCGAATTTACTATCAAAATTTAAACCCACATCGCAAATATCACTTGCAAATGGAACATTATCACAAGAAGCAAGAAGAACCACAGCGATGATAATAATAATAATAATAATAACGTTAACAATAATAATAATAATAACGTTTTTAAATATTGTAAAAATAATATGTAGTTAATTAAATAAATTAATTCGCGCTTCTCGGCTGAGCGTTGATATTTATCTTAACCATAATATAAACAATCTTGCCGTTAAAATTTTAAAAATCGCGTTTTATATTGTTTAATATTATTAAATTTATTTTATTGGTTTTCTGTTTTAATTAAATAATTTATATATATATATATATATATTATATATATATATATTATTTATATTTATATATATATATATTATTGATGAAAATCACAGCATGTTCGGCTTTAGTTAACTTCCAATTTAACTTTTTGATTTTTCTAACGGTTGATAGTTATTATTATTTTCAAGTTTTTGTTTTAATTAAATAATTTATATAAATTAATAAGTACTTGTTAAATATCTTATCAAATATCTTACATACCTTATATATAATGCACTGAAGATGAGTTATCTATAACTCGAAATAGCTATTTGCAAATTTATTTAATAAAAATTTTTAAAAAACAAAATGTCTAATTTCTCTGACATCAATAAATTAAAAAGAATTATAAAAAAGTTGAACAATGTTGGAAGTAGTGTTGAATTTTTGAAATGTTGCGTTAACAACAGTCTGTTATATATATATATATATATATATATATATTGGTAATATATATATATATATATATATATATATATATATATATATATATATATATATATTACGCAATATAAAATATCATCTAGTAAAGTTGTATATCGGAAAAAATTTTATCACATTGGTAATATTTCAAAGACTTGTGCATCCTATGTTGTTGACCACCTTGAGTCAATTAATGTTAAAGTTTTGTCTTTCTGCCCTGTATTCAAGAGGAGAGATGACAAAATAAAACTTGATGAAACCCACTCTTCTACGTCATTCCGGTTGTGTGTAGATGAGAAGTATGTGGAAATAATTGCGAGATCAAGTTCTTGGCCTCATTATGTTCAGGTTAGGAATTGGGTTTTCAATAACAACAGCAAAAGTGGCAGCAACAGAAATGCCGATGTCAATGTCAGGACATGTTCTGATGTGAAACGATGATATGGAGCTAGTGTCATGTTTTATTTGCAAACTTTATATTTATGATTTGTTAATTTGACTTAATTTTTTTTTCATTTACCCGCTATTTTTATATTATACAAGCATACATTGTATATTCGTTTAATGTACATTGTGGATAAACTGTTGACTTTTGACAATCATTTCTTTAATTTATTGTTACTGGATTTTGAGAGTGCCTGTGAGATTTCATTTAATAGCTGCTATACAAATGCATTTAATAATAATAAAAAAAATAATATATATATATATATATATATATATATATATATATATATTAACACTCAATAAAACTTTATCATTCACACAACTATATATGTATATATATATATATATATATATATATACAGTGGCGTTCCTAGGGTCTTTGAGGCCCGGGGCGGAAATATTTGTGATGCCTTTCATAAATAAATAATATGTATTACATATACATAGATATTATATGATGGATGTAATGATTATCTGCTTGGTCGTTGAAGTCAGTGTCATCGAGTTCGAAAGCATACCATGCTGTTCATCCCAAAGACCATCATATGGTCTAACCCTAACCCCCCTCGGTACACCAGTGTATATATATATATATATATATATATATATATATATATATATATATAGAGGATCATTAACATACACAGATGGACTAATGGTAGGTTAGGTTAGCTTGGCCATTATCAATGCATATGCAAGTTACTATTTGCCTGCAGCTTGCTATAATTTGATAGCAGCAGAGTGTAACTTTGTTTCCACCTATTAAAAATGTCCACCGGATTCAAAAAGGTGCAACCCTAGTTTTAACAAGAAACTAATACAAAATATTTATTTGAGTTAATATGTTTAAAACATTGTAATTAAATAGAATTATGCAATTTAAAATTAATTTTGTCAATTTAAATAAATATAATGGTCCTAGGCATGACATAAAAGGCTTTTGAGCAAAAGCCTAGGCTCACCGCTTATAACTGGTGGTTGTCGTCAGGATGGGTGTCCGGATGTAAAAACTTTTTCCCAAATTATTCCTATGCCATCACAAAGAAAAACTACGGCCTCTAGTCCCCAGCAGGCCTTAAGTGGTCAAGGGGTGCCAAGAATCCCTGAGAAGTATGCAATAGCGAAGGGATGTTGCAGAAAAATTCAGAATAGCCCTTCTATGGTACTTATACTTGGAACGCCCAATGTTGGATCACTGACTGGCTGCATCATGGAAATCGCAGAAATGCTCGAGCGTAGAAGGATTGACATCTGCTGTCTTCAGGAGACTCAATAGAAATTGAATGGTGTTTGTCATATCAACTCAGACAAAGAAAAATATAAACTATTCTGGAATGGTCAAAAGACGGCCAAAAATGGTGTTGGAATTTTTGTCAGAGAACCGTTAGCCCAAGAAGTACTGGATATTAAAAGGATTAATTCACGTCTCATGTGGATCAAGCTTCGCCTAGAAAAGAAAACAATGATTATTTTTTTCTGCATACGCACCACAGACAGGCGAATCAGAAGAGATGAAAAATGACTTTTGGTCTGCGTTCTCTGACACCATCTCAACAATACCAAAATCTGAAACAATCCTGATTGGAGGCTATCTCAATGGCCACGTTGGAGAGAAAACAGATGGTTTTGACAACGTACATGGCGGTTTTGGCTATGGAGAACGGAATGAAGATGACAACCGCATCCTTGAGTTTGCTGAAAGTCACGGGTTTTGTTTACTGAACAAATATTTTAGAAAGTAGTTGGAGCATCTCATAACATACAAAAGTGGACCATCAGCCATGCAAATTGATTTCTTCACTGTCAAGCAACAACACCGAAGACTATTCAAAAATGTCAAAGTTATACCTGGCGAATCATGTGTCGCCCAACATAGACTTTTGTGGCAGACCTGGTTGTCGAACTGTCAAAACATCAGTCTAAACAAATGCCTCGGAGAATCAAAACGTGGAAGCTGAAAAGCAATATTCATCGAGAAAAATGTCAACAGATTGTTGCATTGCAACACAGTTAGACCACCAATCGCAAGCCAGTACAGATTGGAGTACATACAAAACCGTTTTGATAAACGCTGCAACTTCAGTTTGTTAGAAAACTGGTACAAAACGTCAGCATGAACGGGACACTTGGTGGTGGAATGACAGTGTACAAAATTCAATAGCTGAAAAGAAAGCTGCATACATGCAATGGCAAAAATCAAAGTCTGTTGATGACCATAAAATTTTCCGTGAGAAGAACAACTATGCAAGACGTCAAGTTGCACTGGCTCGGACAGATCTGTGCAGAGAATGGCTCACTAAAAGCAAAGGTGAACAAATGAAATCTCTGTATCGTATAGCAAAACAAGCAAAGCGTACGAAAAAAGACATAGTTGGTGCCTCATGTATCAAAAACGACAAAAATGAGATGGTTCTTGAACAAAATGAGATCAAGCTACAGTGGAGTCCTATTCCAGACATCACTGTAAAGGAGCTTACAGAAGCTCTGAAAGCTATGAAGGATGAAAAGGCAGCAGGGCTCTCTGGACTCACAAATGACATTATCAAAGCATCTGGTACTGCAGTTATCGAAACGTTACTACAACTTTGCCGTGAATTGTGGTGAAATTGCTCAATGTCGACTGAATAGAACTATAGCATTTAAGTTCCGCTACACAAAGGCAAAGGTGATCCATTGAACTGTTCATCATATCGGGGTATACGTCTTTTAGAACACTCCCTGAAACTTGTCGAGAAAATCATTGAGAAAAGATTAACATCGTGCATCACAACCGGAAATTATCAAGTTGGTTTTCTAGCGGGGAAATCAACAATTGATGCAATTCACATTCTTCGGCAACTGCAAGAGAAGTACCTCGCAAAGCATCAACAACTATCACCCATTTTTGTAGACCTTGAAAAAGCATTTGATCGAGTTCCCCGTGAGCAATCAGGTTGAGTCTACGTGGACAACTCATTCCAGAATATCTTGTTCGACTTGTGATGAAAATGTATACGAATACTAAGACTCTCGTCAGCACAACGGTTGGAAACACAGATGCATTTGACATCGGCGTTGGAGTTCACCAAGGCTCGATTCTCAGTCCATTGTTATTTATAACTGTGAGGGAAGAAATCACAAAACCGATACGCACTGGTGACATTTGGAATCTAATATATGCTGATAATATCGTTTTAACTGCCACGTCTGAGCAGAATGCAGCACAGATGTTTAAAGATTGGAACAGCAGACTCGCCGATTATGGATTCAAAGTCAACATCAGCAAAACCAAAGCAATGAACACTGGTGAACCCATCCAATCCATAGCTACTGGACGATGGCCCTGTTCAGTTTGTAAAGCTGGTATAGGTAACAATTCAATCAAGTGTCAGCACTGTAACCAGTGGTGTCACAAACGTTGTTCAAAAATAATTGGTACTTTATCTAAAGTTTAGGTTTTTTAGGCAATGCAATAAATATTAACTTGGATAGATCTTCTGGAATTTCGCAGCTATTATATATCTAAATCAAGGTAATCCAAATTCACCTAAATTTTTAATTTTTTCAACAACTATCTCATCTGGGCGTGGTGCTTTATTTGATTTCATTTTGGAAAAAGTATATCAAACTTAGATCTAAGTATCTTTGGTCCTACGCTTTTTTTAATAGGAGGCAATTCAGAGAGCATGCTGTCAGGCATGCTAGCTCAGCCGATTCATTGGTTGGTTGTTGTTCATCCAAAAACAGATTTCATATAGATGGAACAAATTTTGTCACTCTGTGCTTGATTCTTTCAATCATTTCACTATCACCCTTTAGACCTGGGTACCAAACTGATACTGCATACTCCAACATATTTGTAATAATTTGATCAATTGCGACACACTATTCAATGAACTTATTTCCTTTCATTTCTTTCACCTATCCCGTGAGGACCGATCAGGTCGTGTAATTTTTCTAAGCCAACTTTTGCATTCAGGTAACCCATCATAATAACAATTTCTTAAAGTTTACATGTTTTTTAAACATCATTAAGATCACTGAAAAGCATTAAGGTCAGAAGAGGAGGAGCAAATTTTTCATTGCAATCAGTTTCAGTCAAAAATCTATTATATTAGTGTTTGGGGTTGATGGGGTAGCAGAACAGAATTGTGACACCATCCGGATATTAATGGCAGAATGAACAGATGTTGAGCTTACTGTCGATTCTAGATTTGTAGCTGCCAAGAAAGATGCTGTGGCCGGAATGGAGTGTCTTTCTGACTATCCTGGGCAAACTTTTTTCTGACTTGTCTATTTTGGGTGTCGGTGAGGGCCATCCGCTAAGCATCCGGTGTGTGGTATGAATCGACGGCGGTCCAAGCAGTGTTGTGGTGAAGGACGACAGATGCAGCTTTGTAGGAAGCACTGAAGGCTTTGGAGCAACAGCCGTGTTGTAATGAAGCCGACTAACTGATCATCTATCCGTTTTTCGAAGGTATCAACAACAAACACTCAATTCATGTAAACACGGGTGAAACAATGCATCACATCTATTTCATGTGATAGGCGTGGATCGCTTTGCAATGGAATCTGGTCACTGCATTAGCACTGTCAGGCACTTCATAATTACACCATAAATTAACCACATCCGAGAATTTAGCTTCGATGCATAGTCGAAATGAAGTTGATGGTTGGGAGTCGTTAGGTCGTACGTCATTTACCGTCTTCTTAAATGCAGGGAACATCTATATTAATTTCAAATGTTCGATTATACAGATGCAACACATTTTGGCACGTTGCTAACAGGAAAAAATTGTTTGTGATCTTACTGGCAGTGATTTTCTAGTCATACTTTTGACAGAAATTTTCGTTTTATTGAGCAAACTACGCTTCAAATGTTTTTACTTACCCTTATGAAATCATTTTTATTATAAACGTTATTGCAACCGTTATCGATAGGATCAGTTATGTTCACGTTTCAAAACTTCATACAAATTTTAGCTAAAGGTTAAAAAAAAGGTCAATTGCACTCTTTCAAAAATCAGAGGATTCAACAAAGCGCACAAACACCATATATGAATACAAGCTAAACGTCGCATCACACACGAAGCATATGATAGGTGGGGATCTTTTTGTCATATTCGAACCCGGTTACTGCGAAACAGCTCCAGGCGACCTTAACCATAAAACCATCACGTCCGTCTTACCATCTTAGCTGACACGCCTAACAATTTTGTTGTTTACAAGGCCAACAACAGGGATCTGGTGTATATTCTTTTGTTTATCACACCGTAGGTCGGCATCAACAGGTTTTTTACAGAGCTGTTGTACACTTGCCTGTACGTCTTTTTTGTAAAATGTCATCTAAACTTGTGGGAACAACAACTACATTTTTCATGCACCTTTATTTTTATTTCAAATGTTTTGAAAAAATATGTGATGTTTTTTGTAACAATAATGTGTGTAATGTTAATTGAAAAGTTAACAACAGTATGTTCAGGTTGAAAAAATTTTGCATATCCAAAAGATGGACTAAAATAATAAAAAATGTTCATATAAATATTGTTATAATCCTCACAAATATATTCGCTGAGGCGCTAGTGTTGCTACAAACGCATATGGTTTGAGAAGGAGCCAAAACTTTCCGACAGCGAGATATCTGGGACTTTCGAGAAGCGTTTTGGTAAAACGGGTATATAAAGACATACAAGATAATGAATGGTTGGCGTTGACTATTTGATATTAGAAAACAATTGATTTAGTATTTGAAGCGATATTTGATATTTGACTGCGTTGTGTTTCAATTATATTTGCAATAAAAGTTTGTGAAAGCAATAGTTTTTGAACGTTAATTTGATAGTTTGTTGACATTAACAATTTATCAGTAAAATTTAATAACGTTGAATATTAATTAATTATTTTTTGTAAATAAATAAATCGATAATTTGGAAATTATACTGTCTTTATTTTTCATTGTGATTAAACGAACTCTTCGTCGACTCTGCCAGTTATAAAAATATAAAAACTATAATCTATTTTCACCACAGATTTTCTCATCATTCGATCACATTCTGAATTTACCACTCTGAATTTTTTAAACAAATCAGTTTGAATAATGGCAGTCATAGATGTTGCCGTCAACGTGGAAGGAGTTGATCCAAATTTTAAAGGTTTTTATTTTAAGAATGATTTTCAACAATTTTTGTTGCATTCGATTGGTTGTCAGATTTTTTTCAGTCTGAGACATAAGGCTTCAGCATAAATGTCAATACACAATGGAATGAAGAGTGTTAGTTATAAACAAATGCATAAAGGACAGAAATACTGGATGGAAAAGTATTTGATTTTCAGATTTGTCAGAAGTTTAGCATCTTTTTTTCTAATCAGAGTAACGAGTCTGCAAAATTTGTGGTTTCCGTTTGCATTGGATTCAACTACTTCTTCCCTGATGATGATGCTCTGACATCGAAACGTAGGAAAAATAGCACGCACTTGGAATAAAAGCTTGGTCCTTGTCTACATGGATGATGACATCAAAGACGGCTTCATTGCTGATTGTGATGAAATTTGTATCGCTCCGTTACTGATCGCCAGGAAAGATGTCAACAACGAATATTACACTATGTGTGCCTAAGCTATCCATCTGGTCATTCTACACATCTTAAACTTAAAATCAAATAGGACCACGACGTCTGCCTATGGCTAGAAGAACCGAAACAACACAGGCTTGGCGTGATCCAAAAAGAAATAAAACAAGTTTCAAGAGCAAAGACCTGGTCCGATTCAGAAAAAGGCGATGCCCGTTGAAACTTCCAAAGAATTGGAAAAATCAATACACAAGATACCGGGCAAAGAATTGGGAAAGTCGGTACAAGGTCACTAACAGGATAGATGACGTGATCTACAGGATTTATGATCAAGAAAGACAACGGACGAAGAAGAAGAATTTTAATAGATTAGCCCCTATTTATCGGAATAAAGAAGTAACGCCTATGTTAGAGACTAAGGTATGGGTAATGTTATAACCGCTAAAATGGTGGAATTAATTATATAATTAATTATTTATATCTTGCTTTATTTGTTATCTTTGCTATTAGTCAATGGATTTTAAACCATAGAATTTTTCATAACATAGAGGATTGTAAAAATCTACTGTAGAGGCTATATAAATATAAGGGGTAGGAGTTCAAAAGTTCAATTTTACAACACCAAAGTTAATTTTTACAACGTCAAAGTTAATCTTGACAAAGTCAATATTTCCCTATATATACAACAAGGAGCACTGACGATGATTCATTCGGAATCGAAATATGGCCTTGTTTGCAGCATGAATTCGAAAAATAAGTTTATTTTGAATTTTAATAAACTAAACGTTCACCAAAAAACTTTAGTGAGAAAAATTGAAAAAACGAACTACAAACATATTAACGCCAAACATTCGGTAGAATTTATAGAATATTGTAAAAATTATGGTCTATTACCAACATATATATATATATATATTATGAAACGTGTCCGCGTTCATTTAAGGCTCTTCCAGTGCTTAGTGTTTAGGGTTTGTCTTCTTTGAAGGGTGAACACCCTTCCTGGGATACAATCATTGCAAATATTTTTGTCGAGCGCCATTTCAGACTTCATGCTATTTGTGATGTGCTTCATAGATTAAAATTTGGTCAAATACAAATATAAAAAAAAATACAAAATTTCCAAATAGTCAAAAAAATATGTTTGATAATAATGTAATTCGAAAAGAAGATTAAAAGAAATCATTGGAATATAATAATCGACAAACAACATTTTTTTCAAATAAATTTCTTCCTAGCTTTACTTCTTGCAAATTCATCAATAATTTTGGCAGTGTCAACACTATTCATTATTTCTTGTTCTATATACAAAACAGCAAAATTATTTAATTTTTGTTCCCCCATTGTACTCCTTAAATAATTTTTAATTCTTTTCAAAACAGAAAAAGATCTTTCACCAGATGCATTAAATAAAGGAATAGTTAAAAAATAATATATCAATATTGGGAAATGTGCATGACATTTCTTTAGCGGCTTTATAGATTCTTTCAAATGATAAATGAAATCTTTGTTATTACTTGAATTATCTGGCTTATTCTTAATGGCGTCCTCATTTTCCTTCAAAAAAAATAAAAAATGGTTTAGTTCATCTTCCAAATTACAAACATCAATGTTATTTCTGTAAATATTTTTCAATTCTTTCTTCTGACAAATTCCAATTAAGAAATATACGAAAATGTTCCAAAACAACCTCATATTTTTGAACTCTTTGTAGCAATAGTGTTTTAATACTATCGCATATGACATAAAATGTATTGATTTTAAAATTATCTCTAGTTGTAAATTTATACTCTTCATTATTTTCATCAAAAAACGCATTTCTTTTTCTTCTGTTAAAAGTTACTTCATCTTCCTCACTAAAAGATTGTAATCCTGATAAATCGGTTGCTTCTGTCATAACTTTTTCATAATCATTTCTAAAATTCTCAATAAAACTGTCTAATGATTTAAGTAGCATTGATCCTTTAAATAATTCACATTCTATTGATTGCAGTGACTTACTGGTAGAATTTTTTCTTTGCAGGATACAATTCCAAATAACAGTCATAAGAGCGGTTTCGTATTTATTCATTTTTTCGGAAAATACCAGCCATGTTCTTTTTTCCAAAACTCCGTTTGATTTTTTTCTATAAAAATGATCATTAGAGAGTCCTCTGCTGTAGTAAACATCATCTTTTTCTTTAAACACCGATTTTAAGTTTTCTATATTTCCTATATTTTCTGGTTTATTTTTTAAAATATAGTCAATAAATGAATCAGACAAACTGGCTGGCCATAAGGCTATATCATTAATTTCTTCATTTTTCTTATTATACAATTTATCTGGATTTTCTCTGTCTTCTGTTATCTCACAATTTTTTTTCATCAACCTGATGTTCACTTTCTCCTTCTTCTTCCCTTTTTTCAACACTTATTGGTCTGTGACAAACACGTGTTCAAAAGATGTTGATGGCACAGGTAACTCGATATCGCTATTTACTAAGGAATGCATTTTTCTGACTTTCAACAAATTCCTGGATTTTTAAGATTTTTTCCTTTTTTTCCGTCTTTTCATTTTTGTACTATGAAAGAAGTCGTTTTTATTATATAATTACGTTTTAATAGCATCTATCTGCCAAGTTTGAATTTTAATATTGAAACAATTCAATTAATTATAAAAGCCATTTGTAATTAATTAAAATGAAAATCATTTAATGAATTTATATCAAAAGTAAATAGAAATGTTTACCACTTAGGTACTTGAAATAAAAGAAAAAAACAGACAACTAAATAACGTTTTAATTATTTGGCCACAATACTTTTTTAAACAATAAAAACACGCGCTTTCAACAACAAAACAACGATACGATATTAAAGACAGAAAAGTAGGGATGTCCGAAGAAATATCACGGTGGCTAACGAAACGAATGACAGATTGTTTTCAAACATATTACTGTAAACTGCTAATGTTTGCAAACGCTTATTAACGTTGAATTCAGCATAGTAATTGAAAGAATTTGATAATAATTTCATTATATTTCAAAATTTATTTCAGTTATTTTTATAAAATAATTTTTTTACGGGGCCCCCTTTCCATTAATAACAATTAACAATTATGATTTTTTTCAAATTTCATTATATTGGAAAATTTATTTGAAGTATTTTTTGAGGGATAAATTTGTACACGGGGCCCCTTGGCCGTCCGGGGCTCCTAGCAGCTGCTCAGTCTGCTAAGCGTTAGATCCGTCACTGCATTGATGTCTGAAGTAACGAGCGTCAAAGCTTACAACCTAATAAAGAAACAAATGTTCACTACAAGTAATATAATAAATATTTTTTATTTAGTAAATGAAAAAGATGAACTAATAAATGAATAAAACAAATAACAAATCTAAAAAAAAGCAAAAACTAAAGTGTGAAGCCAAATGTTATTTTTGTATATAATTAATCTACGTATATCAGTTTTAAATTTAAGAAACTGTAGTTATTAGTTAATACGTCTGTTTATTTGACAAATATAATTTATTCAAAATGTAGTATCAAGCTGGACGCAAACCGATGATGGATTGGTTGAAATATCATTATGCGTTGGTAAGCATGTTTCTGCGTCCAGCTGCTCAGTTCTTTTCAATGATGACTTTGTAAACGTTAGATTGAAAGGTTGTTTTTTTTTTGTTTTATTTCGCATATTTTTTTTGAAAACTTTTACATCTTTTTTGATAATTCACTGGATAAAATTATCCAGTTTATTCAATTATTCAGCAAATCCCACGGTTCTCACAAGACCTGTGGCGAAACCCGAGATGCTTACATGTTATTTTATTCTATGATTATATTACACTTTCGTGCCACTAAAGTCGCAAAAGCGAAAATCGCATCTCTCAAATTTCCCATTTAAAATGGGGCATTATGCGATTTTTAACTTTCATTTTAAATTCTTTTGATCCGTTTTTTCATGAACAAATTGTGTAACATGTCTATTAGTATGGTCTAGGCTTTAGGCACATCACGTCAATGGGAGCATGGCATTGTAATTTAAACTTGGTTCTCGAACAGCAGATCAAAAATTGTGTAGACTAAACTGTATATGAGGTCGAATCTGTCGTTTCGACAGAACTGGTTGAATTTATTGCGTTTGATATCGGCTTCTGTATTTTTAAGTTGAACGAAACCTGTCTAATTCAGTAGCAGTAGTGTGGTTTATTGATTGAATAGGGGAATAATATTCAAAGGCTTGACTTCCATGGTTGGCGACTTCTACAAATGTTGAAAAGAAATTGCAAAATAAATAACTGCTGCAAAATATATTTTAGAAACTGTAGCATGTGTGAGCACTCAAAAATTATAATGAATCGTTTAAAAACTAATACTCGTGCAGAAATCATTTAATTTAATATAAAAACTGTTTAAACTAATTAATAAAATTTACTAGATATATTAAGTTTATTAAACTATTTAGAGCAAATTTTATTATAAAATAAACGATATTTTTACGCACTCAGACCATTGGAGCTCAAAAGAATAAAAGGCAAATATAAAATGGTAAAGCATATAACGCATATATTATATGTCCCGGTGAAATACTCAAACTTTTTAATAAATGAAGCTCTAAAGAAACTAAAAAAATCAAAGCAATTTAGTAGAGGCACATTTATTCGCAGCAAGTTACTAAGGTAATATAGAATGAATAAGTGGGGAATACTAAAGCTGATAGTTCAATTATTGATTATATGATGTTAGAAGTTTGAATTTAAAAGATTCTTTTGATACTTTTGGTTGAGTGGGTAACGTACATGATGCCTGAAACGTTGTAATGTACCCTGCACTGCACATTACAACGGACATCTGTGTTTATACGTTTTGAAAGCGAGTATCAATCAATCTTCGTTTAGCGTCAAGAGACCCAGTTCCCCTGAAGTAGGACGTTGTTTTCTTTGCCATCAATTTTTTGCGCCGAATTAGATGGTCAGTTATATCCATTTCATTTAAATTTAGAGCCTTCATGTTTTGCTCGATTGTTTGCGACCAGGACATCTTTGGACGGCCTTTGGGACGTGTGCCAGGTACTTCAACATCTGCAAGAGAAGTTATAGCACTATTTCCACTTTCTTTGACATGACCAAACCATCGCAGACGGTGTTGCTGGCATTCGTCCTTTATATCATCTAAACCTGCACGATGCAGAATTTTGGTAGATTTGATGCGGTCCTTCAGACTAATTAGTTGCATCCATCGGAGCATTTTCATATCGGTTCGTTGGAGTTGTTGTTCCAGTTTAGTGGTCATTGGCCATGTTTCTGCACCATATAACAAGACCGTAGTGGTAGTGGGATGCCACGCCGCATTAATATAGAGGTAAGGAGATGCAATTTATTTCAGGCTGCTCGTATGCGTGCTCGAACGGCAGCTTCAGCTGTTCCAGTACAATCCAGATCCAATACAGAACATCTCCTAGATATTGAAACGATGTATCTTTCTCTACCTTAATGGCTTCAAAAACATTGCTATTTCGAATTTGTTGTTTTGGATTGATGCAAGCAGGACAAACAAAATTGGACACTTTAGATAAAGTACCAATTATTTTTGAACAAGCTTGATCCTCATGAGACGTGAATTAATCCTTTTAATATCCAGTACTTCTTGTACTTCAGAAAACCGCTGTTTTCTGACAAAAATTCCAACATCATTTTTGGCCGTCTTTTGACCATTCCAGAATAGTTTATATTTTTCTTTGTCTGAGTTGACATGACTGACACCATTCGATTTCCTGAAGGCAGTAGATGCAAATCCTTCTACGCTCGAGCATTTCTGCGATTTTCGTGCTGCGGCCAGTCAGTGATCCAACGTTAAGCGTTCCAAGTCTAAATACCATAGAGGGGCCATTCTGAATTTTTCTGCAACATCCCTCCGCTATTGCATACTTCCCAGGGATTCTTGACATCACTTAAGGCCTGCTGGGGACTAAGGGCCGTTGTTTTTCTTTGTGCTGGCATAAGAGTAATTTTGGGAAATGTTTTTACATCCGGACAAACATCCTGACGACGACAACAACCAGTTATAAGCGGTGGGCCTAGCCTTTTGCTCAAAAGCACGCAAGGCAGCGTAGATGCAGTTTTATGTCATGCCCAGGACCAACACTTTTTACATTATATAATATAACTTGTAAGTTTGGCTTTGTTAGCTTGCAAAACACTAAATTCAAACCCAGCATTAAAACTTTTTTGATATTTATTCCTATCAGTAAATGACTCAACAAGTTATCTTAAATTTAATACAATTTGAATTTATATCTCATAATCGATTTCTGTAAATACTCATGGTACCGAACATACGTTACAATATACGTATAAAATGAAAAAAACATGTGCGATTATACAAGCACCACACCTGTTAATATATTTTGAAAAGCAAAAAAGTGCTTGGTGTTAATTTAATGTCTGGTAATTTAAAAGTAATTGAAATAATCAAGATAGGAACATCAATCAAATGGTCCAAGCGATACAATCGTGATTCTTCAAGCTTCAAAGCATTATGCAGATATACAAAACACTCATCGATCAGTGAATAATAATATACACTTACATACATGTTTACTTTAAAAAAAATAAATGTAAAATCTGCAAACGCGTGTTTACATTCTCATATACAAATATGTGCATTTAGATTCATACATAAGTATTAATACATTCTAACTTATGTAAAAAAAAAAAAAATCCGACCAAACATCCGAAATTCAGCCTAGAAAAGTTTTTTTTAACAACCCAAAAATTTTCTATTTTTGAATAATAAAAATATGTTTATACTTGAATAATTTTTGTAATTTTTCAAAATATTTTGCTAATGAATCAATTAATGAATTGAAATATTATAGAGTGGTAAACAAGCATCCGTATAAAAAAATAGTGTGGCTCAGCGATTTCTAATTACAAAAATTTGAATCGAGATCTCGATAACGTATCGTTAATCGCATCGTTATTTCTCGCTATTTTCGACGGCATCTCGTTTCGTCTCGTTTCATTTTAGACAAAATTACGATGTATCGTTTCAAAATAATAACGCTTAATGGTCTTAGCCATTTTAATGCATCAGACAATTGAAAAATTATACCTTTTGTAATTTACACAATAATGCATTTATTTGTAATTTTATTCCTATTGATTTAACGTATTTCTCAAGTTATCTTAAGAATTATATTTAAAACACAATGAGTTAATGAATACATGATCAATTATTTTCATAAATAATAAATTAAATAAACTTGACAGTATTTTGTTGTTTATGTACCAAACAAATTCATGTTTTTAAATAAATGGAATGAATCAAACGTTCAAAATAATTCAGACGGAAGGACCTGGACATGTTTGTTAGAACATCCTATAATTATAAATGAATGCAAAATGAGGATGAAAAAAAAAAACTTGGTTTTAATCATGAAAAAGAAAAATTCGAAACTTATATGGAATAATTACGAAAAATTTTCCAAGTGTCAAACTGAGAAAAATGTTAGAAGTGAATGTTATTTTATAAACAAATTTGGTTTTGAACTGATACTTTTGTATTTTATGAAATATTTTTTTTATTCCATTTTTTTTAAATAAGTTTTTTTAAGAATTATTTACAACTTTATAATTGTATGTATCGATTTTCAAATGTCTGAATTGATGAAGGTAAGAACCCAGACGAATTCAAGTTTGATGGTGCTGACGAAGACAATGAAATTACAATGAAAAATTACACGTTTACAACCGCTAAAATGATGGAACTTCTGCTTAGCATGTCAACTGAAATAAAACAACAGTCCGAACGACAGACAGAAGAGTTAAAACAACAGATCAAGGAACAGTCCGAACGACAGACAGAGGAGTTAAAACAGATCAAAGAACAGTCCGAACGACAGTCCGAACGACAGACAGAAGAGTTAAAACAACAGATCAAGGAACAGTCCGAACGACAGACAGAGAAGTTAAAACACGTAAAATTGGAAGTGGTAGAACAGATTGAAGAACAGTCAACAAGAATAGAAATGATCGAGCAGAAACTTGATCGTCAGACCGTTGAGGTAGATCACAAGATAGACAAATTGAAGCGAGAATTGGAGCAATCCAAAAAAATGGCCATGCCGTTAGATCACGCATCCGGAAGAACTTTGAAGGTACCAGCATTTGACGGAGAGATGTCCTGGAACGTTTATAAAACCCAGTTTGAAACAGCGGCAACTAGTAACTGTTGGAACGGAAAAGAACGAGCAACAGCACTGATACTGGCCCTGCGAGGTTAGCAGCAGAGGTTCTTCAGACGATTCCGGCGGAGAACCACTTCAACTATGAAGTTCTGGTTAGCGCGTTGGATTTACGTTATGGTGAAGAACACATGAAACAGATTTATCGGTCTCAGCTTAGAAACAGAACGCAACGATCTGGTGAATCCATTCCTGTCAGAATAATGAATACCGCTAAACACACTATTAAAATTAAAAAAGGCGAGGAAATAGGTAATTGCCAATCAATAAATTTGGTGAAATCATTAGATGTAGAGCAACAGGAAAAGGTTCTACCAACTGACAAAGATAGACTCAAAGAACTTACCAAAAATCTACTGGATGAACTTAATTTGTATCAAGAAGACCCTCTAAAAGCCGAGGCGTTGATTGCTGATTTTGCAGACGTGTTTTCAACCGGTGACAACAATGACCAAGGTAAAACAGCTCTGGTAACTCACCGAATTGATACTCAGGATTCGAAACCGATCCGACAAGTACCACGACGTCTTCCTCTACCAAAACAAACAGAAGTAAACGAAATGATAACGACAATGCAGAATCAAGGCGTCATCGAACCGTCATCAAGTCCCTGGATTTCGCCAGTTGTTTTGGTAAAGAAGAAGGACGGCACTACCCGTTTTTGCGTTGATTATAGGAAGTCAAATGATGTGACTAAAAAGGACAGCTATCCGTTACCGAGGATTGATGACATCATGGACACCCTATCTGGCTCAAGTTGGTTCTCTACGCTTGATTTGAAAAGCGGATACTGGCAAGTAGAAATCGACAAGAACGATCGCGAAAAGACAGCGTTTTCTATCGGATCGGGGTTGTAGCAATTCACCGTCATGCCATTTGGATTGTGCAATGCTCCAGCTACATTCGAGCGACTGATGGAATGTGTATTGCAAGGTCTTAACTGGAAAACCTGTCTTGTATATTTAGACAACATAATTGTTCTAGGAAAAACATTTGATCAACACGTCGAAAACTTACGGGAGATCTTCACAAGACTTCGGGTGGCAAATTTAAAGCTGAACGTTAAAAAGTGCAGGTTATTTTCTAAAGAAGTTAACTATTTGGGACATGTGGTATCTTCAGATGGAGTTCGAACCGATCCCAGCAAGATAGAAATTGTGAAAGACTGGCTAACTCCAAAGGATAAAAATGAATTGCGCAGTTTTCTGGGATTGGCAACGTACTATCGACGTTTTGTAAAGGATTTTGCAAAAGTTGCCAGACCTCTCCACCAACTTACCGAGAAGGACCTAGTTTTCAACTGGAATACCCTATGCGACTCAGCATTTGAAAAGTTAAAAGTTGAACTATGTGATGCTCCTTTGCTAGCAAGACGTTCGTGTTAGATACTGATGCAAGTAACAACGGAATCGGAGCCGTTTTGTCACAGCATATAGACGGAGAAGAAAAGGTGCCAGCGTATTATAGCAGAGGATTCACAAAACCCGAACGAAACTATTGTGAGACCAGGAAGGAGTTACTAGCAATAGTCAATGCAACAAAACACTTCCACAAGTACCTTTATGGACAGAAATTTTTTCTCCGAACTGATCATGCAGCGTTAAGATGGCTCCTCAACTTCAAGGATCTTGAAAGACAGATGGCCCGATGGTTGGAGCGTTTACAAATGTACGACTTCGAGATCGTGCACCGCAAAGGAACAACTCATAGTAATGCTGATGCTCTCTCACGTCGACCATGTTTACCAGGATGCAAATATTGCTGTCGTCGCGAGGAGAAGATACAATCGAAAGACATAAGAGCAACAACAATATCAGCGGAGGACGGTTGGACACCGACGGATTTTGCTGATGCACATGAGGACCTACAACATCTGACCACATGGAAGAACGGGCAAGCGACCGGACTGGCAAAGCATCTCAGAATATAGTGCCTTGTTAAAGGGTTATTGGGCTCAGTGGGACTCTTTATATTTGGAAGGGGATTTGCTGAAACGAAAATGGGAATCAGCTGATGGATCAAAACACCGCATGCAAGTTGTAATACCAAGAAGTAGAACGACCGAAATTCTTGATGAAATGCATGGCGGCCCTTCTGGGGGACATTGACAAGACCCTTGACAAAATACGAGAAGGATTCTACTGGCTTCACGTTAGAGAAGATGTAGAGAGCTGGTGTCGAAAATGTAATACATGCGCTTCAGTCAAAGGACCCAAAAGAAGGCTAAAAGAAGCAATGCAAATGCTGGTATCCCCTTTGTACGGATTGCTATAGATATTGCTGGACCCTTTCCGGTATCAGATTATGGAAACCGTTACATTTTGGTTGTAGCGGACTATTTCAGCAAATGGCCTGAGGTGTTTCCAATACCCAACCAAGAAGCATGTACCGTCGCTGAGGAAATTGAACTCAATTGGATTAGTCGATATGGTGTCCCATTGACAAGACCCTTGACAAAATACGAGAAGGATTCTACTGGCTTCACGTTAGAGAAGATGTAGAGAGCTGGTGTCGAAAATGTAACACATGCGCCTTCCGTCAAAGGTTCCAAAAGAAGGCTAAAAGGAGCAATGCAAATCTACAGTGTTGGTGTTCCCTTTGAACGGATTGCTATAGATATTGCTGGACCCTTTCCGGTATCAGATTATGGAAACCGTTACATTCTGGTTGTAGCGGACTATTTCAGCAAATGGCCTGAGATGTTTCCAATACCCAACCAAGAAGCATGTACCGTCGCTGAGGAAATTGAACTCAATTGGATTAGTCGATATGGTGTCCCATTGGAACTCCACTCAGATCAAGGTCGAAATTTTGAGTCACAACTGTTTGGTGAAATGTGCAAGCTGCTGGGTATAAACAAAACTCGAACGACACCTCTTCACCCACAGTCTGACGGTATGGTGGAACGATTCAACCAAACCCTGATTGAACATCTGGCTAAAGTAGTCGACGAAAATCAACGGGATTGGGATCGTCATATACCATTGTTTCTTATGGCATACCGGAGTGCTATCCACACAACTACCGGAGAAATGCCATCAAGAGTTCTGTTTGGGACTACCTTAAGAACTCCAGCTGATGTGAAATATGGCGTACCACCTGAACCACACCAACCATTAACAGAATACGTGGATAATCTTCGACAGCGATTAAACCATATCCACCGTTACGTACGCCTTAAAATTATGAAAAACACGGAGGCGGCCAAAACCAGATACGACTTGAAAGGAAGCAGTGGCGGTTTTGCTGTCGACGAGTTAGTTTGGCTGTACAACCCACAGCGGAAGAAAGGACGTTCTCCAAAGCTCCAGCGAGGGTGGGAAGGACCTTATCAAGTCATCACCCGCTTGAATGACGTCGTCTACCGTATTCAGGAATATCGGAAGCCGAGAGCAAGAATGAAGATCGTTCATTTGGATAGACTGGCTCCGTACCATGCGGACACCGGAACGAAAGCTGTTCGGGACGAACAGAACTAAGAAGGGGGTAATGTTATAACCGTGCTACCGAACGCACTAGATTCTAGCGTATTCTAGAATGTTCTAGTGATTGGAACGTTCTAGAGTATGGAATCGGACCATCTGGAAGAATCTAGAAACGACGCTTGCGAAGAGTATAAAAGCGCACGTCGCAAGATATTCGTGATTAGTGAAATCCGTGATTAGTGAAATTCGTGATTTTGTGAATAGCGATTCGGTGAATTATTTAAAGCGATATTTGATTTGTTTGTTGACGTTGTCATAGCAATAGATTTTGAAAGATTTAAAAGTTAATTGTTGCGTTAGTGCGAATTTACTGGAAATAAACGATTAGTTGATTTCTTCTGTAAATAAAGTTTAATAACTAATAATAGTGGATTTCTTCTGTAAATAAAGTTTAATAACTGTTTGGAGTATTTTATTCAATCGATGATTTGAACCCGTCGCATCGTAAACCGGTTACGACAGCGAGTATTATTACAATATATATATATATAGAATATTGAATAGAATTTATAGAATTTTGTAAAAATTATGGTCTATTACATATTACATATATATATATATATATATATTTAGGAACGAGGTTTTCAGAAATGCAAATTTCATTGAAATTGTTTGCCCATTTTGCATTAATTAACTTCTTTATAAGACATTCAACGAGGCGGTATTGTTTGAGTTCATATTTATCTAAAACTGGAATAAAGCTAACAGCGCTGTTTCGGCGTAATGCCATCTTCAGAGCCTAAATATTGTTTAAACATATAATTTAATTAAAGTAAATGCCTAATGTAAAATGTGAAAATATAGAAAATAAAATATGTATTAAATTGTGAAATAAATTAACCTTGTTGTAAATATCATAATAACTAAAGTTTATGTAGATTATATAAATAAAATAATGTAATTTAAATAAAATGTTTAGTAAAATAATTAAAATATAGAAATTTTATAAAAGTTTTAACATGGTTGAGAAACGTTAGTGAAAACTAATTACGAATGACATGTACGCCAGATATATAATATTGCTGTGTATGCGTTGTGAATACAACTAATTTTTATGTAATATATATATATATATATATATTTATATATATATATATATATATATGTTGGTAATAGACCATAATTTTTACAATATTCTATATATATATATATATATATATATATATATATATATATGTTGGTAATAGACCATAATTTTTGCAATATTCTATAATTATATATATATATATATATATATATATATATATATGTGTGTTGGTAATAGACCATAATTTTTACAATATTCTACAAATTCTTCCGAATGTTTGGCGTTAATATGTTTGTAGTTCGTTTTTTCAATTTTACTCAATAAAGTTTTTTGGTGAACGTTTAGTTTATTAAAATTCAAAATAAACTTATTTTCCGATTTCATGCTGCAAATAAGGCCATATTTCAATTCCGAATGAATCATCATCAGTGCTTTTTGATGTTTATATAGGGAAATATTGACTTTGTCAAAATGAACTTAGATGGAAATTTTGTGTCAGGTTTCTTTATTGGCTGGTAATCTTCTTT